AAGAGAGACGAGGAAAGAAGAGAGAGGGGAGCAAGGGAACGGGAGGGGGAAGAAAGGCGGTGGTAACGATTCCTAGTCTTCCGATCGAATGATCAAGTTAATCAGGCTCTGGCAGACGAGCATCAATGCACAGGGCTTACGTCCTGTGGTCTAAGATGGAAAAAAAGAGAGGGAGAAAGGAAGAAAGACCCTATGGGCACAAGTAATCTCATAATCTCTTCTCCTCATTTCGTCACCATTTCCTGCAGGATGGTGCAGTGGCTCGAAAACCGAAATCAGCACGAAATCAGCACATCAGGGTACTTCTTGTGCTTCATTCATTGAGCCAACGATGTTATTGGGTGCGAAGGCTCCCTCGATCAAATGATTCTTCATCCCTCATTTTTGTAGAACGCGTAAAGCGTTTCAGTGAACTTATCCGAGGTTTTCTCCTGCCAGTGCTATGCAAGTTGTTGAAAAATGCCCAGAACCAGGAAACACCGTGGGTTATTACTCATTAGCTATCAATCAGAAGACTGCAAATGGTTTATCGATCGCCACTGAGACTATCTCTATCCCTCATTCGTGTCTAATCTCATTTAGTCCTTTCTAAAAATAGGCATTCTGTATTTCCCTCGAAGGTCACCGAGGATATGTGGATTGGAGCTCTCGCATCAAGAAATCCACAAAAAGGCATGACATTCAAGTCTTAAAGAGAATAGAAAAACAAAGACTAAGGCAGGTGAACAAAGCACCATATCCACTAACGAAATCGTGCATTCTTCATGTTTCTCAGGGCTAGGTCAAAATGAAACCAATATTGGAAACCCTCCCAAAAAACCTTCTTGATATATTATTCGCGATGTCTGACTTTGGTGTGTGAATGAGGACAAAAAATGTTGGCCTCCCTCATGCTTAATTTCCTCCCTGAGCAGAGAAGATTCATCGGATATGGTCGTCATTTCCACGAAACGATTCGTAAGTGCTAACTGATTTCTCTGCTTTTGGTTACAAAGAATTCAATTACGAAAATATCCCGGGTGTTCCCTTTCGATGGTAGAAAAAATCTCGTTTCTCCATTGAATCGACATTGATTAATAACTAGGTTCATAAATTAAATGATGGTTCCTCGGTTCATCTGATACAATCTTCTCAAAAAGTGATGGGTCTTTTCAAGAGTTTCATTTTCTCGCATCCAGGATGATCCAAAAAGTAATTTGACGCTCCAGTACTCATGAGGAAAGACCTTTAATTCGAACAAGCGGAATGATGCAATAGCACTGTGCATTTGAGCCACTGGAACGTCGCGACTCCCGTTGTGTGTCCTCCGCCGCTTTATCATGCCGATAGTGCCCATCAATGGTGCTTATTCGTGATTCCTGGTAATCACGTTACTTCTGGATCTCCCGTACTTTAGTGGAGGAAAACGGAGTTGCGAGGGTGGGATCTCCTTGATTGTTGCCTGAGACTTCAAAGAGAAATTTCAAAACATTTTCTGCAGGAGAAAGCCAAAAAGAAGTACATCGATTTACGAATGGATGGACCACAAAATTGTATTGCATGCGTCATAAAAATTCGCGCAATAACTCATTTTGAATCGCAACCAGAAGAATCCAACCTATTCCGCCTTCTCATGCTTGAATTTTGATCAATGGAAAACTAATTTTTTATTTTCTGTAGGCAAGTAGAGACCTCTACAATGTATAGGGCAATCGGTCGCAGAAACTCAGTTTTAAAAGTGCTATATATCTGTCAGTAATAGAGCCCCGCGTGCAGGAGAGGGTTGAGTGCAGCGGAAGACGCATGGCGACAGGCGTCGCTAATGGCCTTTGACCTTAAAGGAACTGGGACTGCATCGCCAAAACATGGATTGTCGCCAAAGTATTTGCAGTCAGAGCGCAACAGAATGCGAAGACGGTCCAAGAGGAGCGTGCTGAATCTAAAACATCTTTGGCGATTGTTGAAGATTATGTCGCATGCATAATATCGCAGGGGAAAGAAGGACCAATAGGGCTCCCTTGAGGGTGGATGCCTCAATGACTCCAATCATAGACGACGCTGGAAGTGCGGAACCTCGGCTCACGGAGCAAAAGAACCGGGAGAATGAGAAAGGAGGAAAGTTCCTCATCGGTATTCAGACTGGAGCACGGGAGGAGACCGCTCGTGCTTCAAACATCAAATCTTTGATTCAAATCATCAGATATCCCGAAACGACGCTGAAAGACTACGTTGCATCCTCGAATACTGACGAATTCTTGCATCTCCCCTTATGTTCTCCTTTGAAGTCGTCATTTCTGACACGTCAAAGGCATCTATCGTTCCTATCGGTCTGTGCTCGCACGATCAATAGCCTCTGATTCGTGATAAAGATTCACTTCCAGAAAAAATGGAAGAAAAAATGTCACTACAGTGCCACTGTGTTTTCCTTGTATCTCTAAAATCTACGTATGGCGTTTATGCTTTCATCACTGCCTTTGCAAAAAAAATCCTATAGGATCCTATAAGATATTTGAAACATAAAAATTTTATTGGATTCTAATCAGATTCTTATAGGATTCCTATAGGAATCGTATAGGGTCCTATAAGAATCTATAGGATCCATTAGGAGACCTCCAGGATACCGATAAGACTTCAATAAGATTTTATGTTTAAAAAATCTCAGAATCCTAAAGGTTTTTTTTTCGTACGGGTGCCCCCTCCCTCTAATCCCTTTTTTTTTTATAAGGATGAATGAATAGCATACTGCTTCATGAATGCCTTGATAGCGTGTCATCTATTCAATTTTGAGGGGAAAATGGCAAATAAATGCACTCTATGTATGGGTCAATTTAGGACTATCTTTCGTCAAAATGTCTACCTTAGGTGTACGAAACACAATGGCTCGTTTGCACGAACACGGTTGTTGCTCGTCATTAATCCATTTGAACCTAGATATTTCGTCGCTTTATCGCCAAATGAGGATCAATGTTGACTGCAGAATTTCCCAGAAAAATCTTGCAAAAATAAATTTATTTACTTCATGCAATCATTCCACATCTCACACTCTACTCAATGTTATCGCATTTAAATTATTCCCCCGCAATTTAGCGCAAGTGTATTAGAGGCATTACTTTTGAATATGCATTTATCTATGACAATTACATATTCATACATTACATTTTCACACAAAAAACATATCCGTCTGAAAATCAATTGGCAATTATATTCTATTAATCCCAAAAACTTGTGACTATTCCTACCGGTACAGATAATAGTTACAAAAATTAATATTGCCGTATTATGTACTGTACGAATAAAAAAGTTGTAGATCCTCATTTGGGGATGGGACGTAATGAGACGTAATGGGCATGTATTAATGGGCCTAAGTGAACCACTCAAGATAAAAGGTGGAATTCTTTCCTTTTAATGTGCACCAAACAAGTCGTAAATCCTTACTGAATCAATACCACTGTGTTTCTCCGATTTTTTTTGCACATCCATCTCGGATGAAAAAAAATTGCGACGCAGTTTCGAAAGAGACTTCGTAAATGTGCATGCACTCACCTCGTCCCTTTCATAAGGATAATATTTACGGAAATAATAAAATCTTAGTCGTCGTGATCATGCAGATCACGTCGAAAACCCAAAAGGAGCCTGACCATCGTGAAATTAAAGGGCAATTAAAGGCAAGCTTCAGTTCGTTTTTCTGCAAGCACTCACGAGTGATAATTCCGGCAAATTTCAAGTGCGTATGAGCTGAGGCGAAGGAGCAGCGCGATTTCGTGACGGTATTCATCGATTCAATCATTCGTCGCTTCGTTCTCTGCTTCTTGGAGGTACGAATCGTGATTAAAGGGCAAGAACCTCGGAGAGCATCTGTGGCCCCGTTTTCAGATATGTTGTTGACAGAACCGAAGCTGAAGGTGAAAAGTATAGTTTCTGAGTTCCTGGGGAAAGTTCATAATGATCTTAAATTTAGCTGCACGTGCAGTTGTTATCGTGAAACTTTGAAATGATGGAAGAAAAAGGGGAAGGGGGAGGGTGAGGTAATAATGAGGCTATTATATGGAATAGAGGACAGAGATGAGGACTCCGTCATCAGAGAACCTCTTACGTTTTCTGACTGACAGTTTCCCAGAGTGAAGAAAATTTTGCATGGGTAAAACATTGATTGCAGAATGAACCCATGGGAAATGCAGCATATGACCACGAGGAAAAAGGGCCTTTAAGAGTGCAAATCCAATTTCGAAGAAAGTCTGTCTGTATGACAGCCTGCCCGAAAAGTATAAAAGCCTGTCTTTCCGCCTTTCCTCCTTCCTGATTTCATTCAAACTATTCGAAAGCTCTTGACCTGAAGAGGGGCACAAGCTGAACCAGTATCATTGAGAGCTTAAAAATAATGAGTTAAGCACTTGGCCTGGTATTCCCTAAGTATCACTTTTAAAAAATGACATAAAAGTTCCATCGATGGAAACCTCAAGATGAAAAGGGGTGCAAATCCCGAGTAATTGCAAGCGAGCGCGTGAGCTTATTCCAGTCTGTAGATATTACATAACTTTTAATTCGGTATGACATTCTCTTCTCATGACTATATTTATGAAAAGAAAAGAGAAGAAGCCATCGTTCTCATTGAAGATATCCACTTCGATTATCAAAGTCGCACGAGTGTTGTATGATTCAAAGCTGCGAAGAATAAAGTATTTTCTTACATGTAGTACGTATTAAGTACTAGTATACTTGTATGTTGTAACTTGCGAACTAGTAAGTGGTACGGACGAATGAAATTTATCGTTCTACTTCGTTTCCCCTGAATTACATCCAAGCAACAACTCTTGAGCGTTGCAAAAAAAAAATTATGCGGCATCTCAACAACTATTGTACGTAGAAGCAAAGTTTTCGTGGTTGGAAATTTGATTGAATTTCCTTTCAAAATCCTCTGAGAACGTCCGTTTAAATTTTAGGGCTCCTAAGGCTAATTTTTCTATCTCGCTCACACAAGGCTACTGCATTGCTTAGTCTGAGAAAATGGAATTTGTCCATACCAGCGCTGCTGCTGCTGGATGAAGAAGAGAGGGAGGCGTCGTCATCGACTGTTGAATTGATGGCGATTGAAGATTCTTCACGATCTGAATCCGCTTTGGGATTCTCATTCCTCTTCGCCGTATTGGGCTTCTCAACCCTCTTCCCTGTATTGAACTTCTCGACCCTCTTCGTTGTATTGGGCTTCTCGACCCTCTTCGTCGCATTGGGCTTATTCCCGAACTTCAGATCCGAGATTACCCCATTGGAACAGAAGAAGTAGCCAGAGGACTTCGACGTAGGTGGGGTTCGAGTGCGTGGATGGAAGCGGGGTATTCGGGACTCCGGCGGTGAGGGTGTACCCAGGCGTATCGGTCTCAAAATGGGAGATACTACATACAATCCCAGGCTGGATTCAGTTCCCAAGGCTGGCAAGATGTCATTACCGGGTATTGTGTCTGTCTCGGCCGCAGTCTCTTCCGGACTATGATGGCAGATGTCCACTTCGCACATCACAATCATTTCAAGCTCACGCTCCACCTCATCTCGAGGACGACGACTAATCCACCTCCACACTCCGGCCTCTCTTCTGACAGAGAATGTCTTCTTTCCCGTCCCTCCCATCTCGCGGAAGGGAAATTTCTCGTTTGCGCGCCACTCTGCCGGAGATGGAGTGGCGCACACGTTGCCCATGCCACCCACTCACTCCGCTCCCTCTCTTCCATCTTACTCTTCCCTATTTGACATCTCTATTCCGCCTTAGGTAAGACACTTCGGTCCTAATGCAGATGTACTTCTAATGCCATCCTTGTTCATAACATGAAGCATCTCATTCATTACGGTGAAAGTTTCGACCTGCCTGCCTCATCTGTGTAGCTCGATCCATTTTCGAAAGCATAAGATTTCAGCTCGAGAATATCTCGAAAGCTCCTTCGACTGCTACAATAACTCAAGACATGAATAGGCTGTACATTGATTTCCTGCCACGAACCGCACGACAGATTCATGACATACTTCAGGAGCAGATTCATCAGCTTACCTACATCAAAGGAGACGAACGCTGTCAGCTACAAAGAACCTTTTCCTCTGCAGCCGGGGACAGGATCTTGTGAAGAGCCAGGTTTTTCGCATCGAAAGACAGAGACATGGCTTGGCTTTATTTTTCATGCTTGGCCCGGCTTCTACAGGTAGCTGCTTCGCTGCCAACGCCTTGATCTAATTCTGTGGCTTTCAATAGACCTTGATGAAGCCTCAACGAGATCCCCTTCAAGCTCAACAGCAAAGGCTCCCAAGTTTCCTCTCCTTTCTCTTTCTCATCGCATCCAACCACTGCCTCATGACACTCGCGTTGAGCTGATGGAACACGGTTACCAGGATAGGAGTCAGATCCCCAATACTTCGCTCCATTTTCAGGAAAGAGAAACCTCTCCGGGAGAAGCATAGTCCAGGTTCTGCATATGCGCATTCTGTACGGCATTGGTGATAATATGCGATCACCACAAATTTTGTATCATTTTGACATTTCTTCCACGCGATTACAGAATTAATTGGGGAAGGGTAGAGAAGTTTGGGAAGGAATGGTACCCTTACATGTTATTTTCTACAAGGAGGTGCCCCTATTCTGTAATAAACTTTTTTTTCTCTGTGGGGAAACTAACGCTTTGCGCTCTATTTTCAAACTCAGTCCGACATCGCCTATTTCCCTATTCCAGGACAAAGTTCGACACGAATTTTCTCCCTCTTCCGCCCCACCGACGGTCTAAGTTTTAAACCGACAACAGTGAAAGTTCTACTAGCCTATGGCAGTATTCTCTTGGCATGACGTTTCGGTAAATAACTAATTGGATGAGACGAATGAGCTTCAGGAAATTGGAGTGTAATAGGATTAATATTCTCGGATGAGGGGCCAATGAAGCTTGCCATTCGATTTTCTCGGTTTGCTTCGCCAGCCCGCTCCTTTAATGTAATCTAAGAGACACTTGAATTTTCACAGGAATTCGTGCTTCAGTAGCTTAGTAGACGAGTAAACAACGTTCCATGAAGACCATGTATCATAAAATGCCCTTTCCCATTCTATTGCGATTTTTAGGTGGCAAGATACAGCCTATAAATTCATTACGTTTTGTCTGTCTATTTGTCTCAAAGTCCGCATCCAGTTTTCGCCGATTCTTGCATTGGGCGGGGGTGGGGGAAGACAGAAGGAGGAAGGAAATAAGTAGGCTTCTTATGCGATTGATATCCATGGGGAAATCTCCAAAAACAGGCAGGGTCATCTGTGGCGATGCGAAGGGCATAAAACTGCTTGATTAGATGTTCCTGATTCTTGGAGCTTGGGGGTAAGTAATTTGGGGGGAATATAGCTCCACAATATGTTTTTTTTTTTTGCAAAAAAAAGCCTCACAAAAGAGCAGTCAGATTAAAATTCTTGAGAGAATAATGACTTGGACTACTGAAGTAATAATTATTACGCAATATAAATTGGCACGATAAAATATTTTGCATGTCAGTAAGAAGAGTATGTCTATCCTGGCCATATTTCCTGTAGCGTTGGGGAAATAAGACCATTATTTATGGTCTCCAAGAACGGAATAAAACTGATCGAAATTAAGGTGGGTCAGCTTGAGAATGATATCCTTCTTCATCACAAAAGCCGAAATGAAATGAGGGGAAATTTTCTATTCAAAAGGTACTCTTGGAGTCCAACAGGAACCTCTTTGGCCCCTTCCAAAAACGAGACCCTGGGCGCACGCCACAGTGCACCAATCGAAGCCTGGACCTCAAAGCGTGCACCCTCTGCGGCCAATGCTTAACCCTAGAAGCGGCGAGGTTAAACCCTGTGACGGGTGAACTGTCGACTGACAGTTGCCGCTTCTAGGGTTAAATTTAAAATATATTATCTCTGCAAAAAAAGAGAGGAAAACATGAGAATTTTTTAAGCCAATGCATAGGCGTTTTTTGTACAGTCAAAAACAGTTGTCATATAAACGGGTTTTATCAGTATCTCACGTAATTACTATACAGGGTCTTAAAAACTCCTCTTTTTCGGATCTGTGGTCAGCTGTGGAGCGTATGCGGAACAACGTAAGACTGGGAAAGTCGCCCCTTGAACCAATTTTACCCTGCAGAGCAGGTGAGCTTGAATAAATCAGGAGTGATGATGATGCCACTTTCTTATCATGTGTTCTCCCTATGGAGGTTTAATCCATTGGGAACAGACACTTTCACACACTCCCTGAATAGGAAAGCAGTGTACTTCGAAGGATTCGCCTAATTCCTCAAGAAATGCTGCATGTATCTGTGTAAAATTTTCTTTCGAACCCTGCAATCCTTCTAATCAAGAAAGGAATCCAGATCGAGCTGTTAATATAATCACCTGAGCTGTACTGTTTAAACGGCACGTGACACGATGGGGGCGTCATCAATTACTTTTTTTTAAGCTCATTAGCTTCCGCAGACTAAAATTAATCCTACGTCCAATTTGCCCCATTTTACGTCATTTTGTGAGTGTGTCACAGCTGATTAAAAAGCGAAAGCTAATTTCAGACCCTGTCCAGCTTGTCTCCTTAAGACCTAGAATAGTACGTAATGCCAGAACTATGTCATATACGAGGGTTGTGCCAAAAGCTTCCAGATTCATAAAATTAAAATAAAAGTTACTGGTAGATTGTCCTCAAAATTGCAAACGTTATACTACAGAGTATTGTCAATCTTAAAAATAATCACCAGCATTGTCAATGCCCTTCCTCCACCGTGATGGTAATTTGAAGATACCAGTCTAGTTAAGCCGGGTTGACGGGTCCTCTGCCACGCAGTCACAGCCTTTTTCACCTCATCCTCATTAGGCTACCTACATGCCCGAAAGTAAGGAAATGTCAAATCGATGGAGCCCTCCCCAACCAAACCAAAAAGTTCAAATCAAAAAGATCCACCGAGAAAGTGATGATGACTGTCTTTTGGCGCAAGGATGATCCCTTAGTGCTCGATTTTCTACCGAAAAATGCAACTGTAAACTCTGTAAAAATTGTTGTGCATTAATGAAACTAAACACCGTACGCCGCAAAAAGAGATTACATCTTCTGACAAGCTAAGTGCTGCTTTTTCATGATAATGCCCTTTCGCCACAACCCAATGCTAACAGCAATTAGGATGGCAAATTGTGTCACATTCTCATTAAACCCCGATTATGGCACCTTCTGACTTTTATCTGTTCGGACTCATGAGAGACCATCTGCGAAGAATTTCTTTCGCTGATGAATATGAGATGAAAAAGGCTGCAACTACAAGACAGAGAATCCGTCCGACCGCCTGTTACAGGACCGGTATCTTCAAATTATCGTCACTGTGGAGAAGTGCATTGACAATTCTGGGGATTAATTTGAGGATTGGCAAATTATCTGCGGTAAAACGCTGGCAAGTTCCAGGACAATCTGCCCGTAACTTTTAATTTTGTTTCATGAATCTGGAAACTTTTGGTACAACCCTTTTAAAACATATTTTAAAATCAAAAGTTCAGCACATCGTAGTCGCACAGAAGCAAGCCTTAACCAAATTGCCCCCCCCCCCCTCCATTGCATCATTTTGCTACTTGATAGTCACAAAAAGCCAAAACAAAAAGTACGACGGAGATGATCTTCCACCGCTGGCCGTATTCTCCCAAATTACCCGAGACAACATGGATTCAATGTCGATTCAACATCCGGATGCTGAATCAACATTGAATCCATGTTGTTTAAATGTTATGTGCTAGTAGAGACCGTCCTGTGTCCTGTTCCGCGCACCCTCATAAACATGCTCATACCTCGTACAACTATGCTTAGAACAAAGAGTGAGAGGACGACAAATGCCAATAGACACCTGGCAGTCCATCGAGCAAGGGATGCTGTGCAGACATCCTTCTCAGGTAGCGCTGGAACCTGTATTAACATGGAGGTCACCATTTTCCTATAATGACATTTGGCGAGCGTTTGATAGGCTCTTTCGGTCCTAGTGCTTGAACGAGAGTAAGGTTTCAAAATATGCCACCGGGAGGGGTATTGAGGAGACTGAATGCTCCGTGAAAGAAAGAGTAAGTGATTAAGTAAGTATTTAGTAAGTGATTAATCGAATGACAGTTAATTAGCGAATGTTTCCTACGAGCGATCATTAGAAAGTCTCTTTGATAAATAAATGAAAAACTGAGTTGATGTTCCTCCACTGGTGCCTGTAGGAAGCAACGGCAAAATTCAAGCTGATATCAACCCTTTGATATCGGATTCTACATTCAGCATCTATGGGTCGCATAGCCTCGAATAGTCCAATGCAAGCCGACATCGCCAGTCCATAGTCATCACCTTTAGAGGGCGCCAGTAGTTAAGAGAGCGTGCTACAGGAGTGCTCATGCCAATTGGTTATGAAAGTTCAACTGTCAGAGAACTGGCAGAGTGGAGGACTCTACAGGGTGTCCCAGAAACCCGCCCCAAGTTTTGTACATTATTACGTCTTAATTTGTTTCTGATGGAAATGAGTTTTGATTCATTCGAAAGCCTAAACCTTTCTTAACAACTACTGTTGAACCTGACGGTTTGTGATTACCGGTTGTAGTTTTTTTTTGTAAGAGAAGGTGTATGTTACAACCTCATTAGCGCCATTCACTTATTCTTAGTCTCCCCCCAAACTTGGGGCGGGGTTTCTAGGATGCAGGGATTCAATATTTTTGCCACTGAAATTGGTTCGCATTCTGATCATGACACAAATGGCATCGCCAGGGAAAGTCATCCACTGCTTTCTGGCTTATGGCATTCAGTTTGGTGGAAATGACGCTGATGAGGTCAGGGAAATTAGGGATTTTGTAGCATACAACTTCTCTTTCAAAAAAGGCCACAACCAGTAATCACAAACCGTCAGGTTTAACAGCAGTTGTTAAGAATCGTCTATATATGCCATGGAGTGGCTGCTCTTGCACCTCCGATGTTGTAGTTAGCTGTCAGTCGGCTGCTCCCACGAGTGGATGCTCTCATTGAAGAACACGGTGAACATTTCGAACATTTTTGTACATTAGCGCCAAATCCAATCGATATCTGGCGTCCCTTTTATGTGATGATGGTGAACCTATATCCATTATCCCCATGATGTCTGAGCATGATGTCTGATACAAAGATTTCAAGGCTATATGGCCAATAGATGCTGAGATAAACCTCTCTGAGTAGCTACCGACAGTATATCTGTAGTTACCTGAAGCCCAAGTGTCTCGCCTCTTTTTTTTTGTAGAAAGGCAAAGGGAAGAGCAAGGCAAATGGAAATTGAGGCGCATCTAGACGCGTAGCTGCCGTACATTCAGACAGAGGAGGGCGGAGAGCCTCCATCCCCCGTGGCTAATTCCCCGAAGACGGTCAAATGATTCGCCTAATGACTTCATGTCTGATCGGCCCGACATTAGATCTGGCTTAAAAGAACAGATTGCTTCCGCCTTGGAGACCAATTCGCAATTTCCATGCTGAAAATCGGCGATTAGTTCCTAACGGTTAGGGAGGAAACCCAGGACACAGCCAGATATAAATTCACATCTACACACCCACTTGTGCAAAATATTTCTTCATCATTGAATATTTTTCCCGATGTGCATTGAGTATCATCTAATGACTGGAAGAACACCATTGGACAGGTGTGAAAAAAAAGTATGTTCCGTGCTTATTGATGAGAAATTTCATTTAAAATAAGCAAGGATTTAGCCGCAGTGCCTAATTTGATTTGGAAAGTGCACAAAAATTGTTGTGGTTTTTATTAAGCCTTTTGCCCTAAGTTCAATACCCATTCAGAGATAAGTCATTCTCGAAGGGCTTCTCCTCCAGGGAAGAAACCACCTTGACTTCCTGGGAGATTTTGACAGCTTCCAACGGTAAGGCAAGGCATACGAAAAGATAGCAGTAAAAAACATAAGATCTTGTTGATTTTATTTTATGGTTACGAGGAAGGCACTTTGTACATTCTTCTCTAAGTACATTTACTCTAAGTACTCTAAGTACAAAGTGACAAGAAGTCACTTTGTACATTCATTTTCATCTAAGGGAGCATAACACAGTATGCAAAAGTTTCCAACACGTGCAGATAACCCCTACCATGGCGGCTCGCGATCTGCAGCAGAAGTACATACTACTGCTGCTGATCACGAGCTGTCACTTAAATACAAACAGAATCAAGTAAATTACATTTTCCACGCAAGGATGGCGCGCCATCTGCTCTAATGCATCGCAACTCTCGTATATTCAGGTGTCCTTTGGATCGATGAATAATCCATACTATGATTACGGTCCCGCTTCTAGCAGAAGAGCTCACATCTTTCATTCTCACATTCAATCACAGAGCATAGAGGATCAATACTTAATCCCAACTCCTAATTAATGAGAATTCGACGAAGCACTTTATTTCTCCTCATAATCTCAAATATCTCAACCTGTTCTGATTGTGCTACAAATCAAAGGCGTATTTTGAAGTAAAGGCGAATAAATTTTCATAACATTTTATATTTTTTCTGAATTAAAATAGCTCAATACCACAAAATATCATAATAATGCACTCGATGAAGCATTTACGTGTAGGCGGCTAAAAATATCAACCCATCACAATGTGAATACTTGGTCAATAAATGACAAGAGAAAAAGAAGAGGGGAGAGCAACAATCTTGGAAGGGAATAAGCGTCAGCATGGCATGACCAATAGGATTCGCCAGACACGCTGGAGATAGCGATTGCACGATCTTTATCTCATTTTTGTCTTTATCAAATGAGGAAAGACTCCAATACGAGGTCTTTACTGTAAGAGGCTTGTCAGAAAATATCGGGATTCTGAAAATCCTTTGGGGTTCGCTCATTCTGGTGGAGGGTGAAAGAGTAAGGCAATACTGTAGATGAGGTTCCCAAGCTGGAACTCAAGACCCATTTTGCATTACGAGATAAAGCAGTCACTCTACGTGTTAGCGTTGGCGAGACATCATATTGCAAATGGAAATGATTAGTTTGTGGGATCTCGATAACATGACAGGAAGGAATATAGAAAGGGGGTAATGTCACCAATTATGCCACAAATAAGAGTGAGGACCTGCAAGTTATCCCCGGCCGCTTTTGTTCGAGATCTCTTTCCCGTTCACGTCCTGACACTGCGAACTTTCCCTTATTTAGTTGAATACGAGAGACTATGACACGATCATTGCACAGAGATTTGTGGATGTAGGGAAGTGTGTGCTATCCTTCCTGAGAGAACGACTCCTTTTCCTCCATCATTATCGGATTGCGATTAAATCTTTGCACGAGGAACGCACTATGACCAATCGTTTCCACATCAAATTAGATAAAATATTCGTAACATTGCGCTGTAACATTTTCCATATATATGAGGGGATATATATTGCACGCGGTTCTTGATTCTATTTTCCTCTTTTCAATCGGCTGGGAAGCGTCCTACAGTAATAGAAGGTCTCGGGAGAGGGATATTATTGATTCACTATAACGAGAAGACTACAAAAAAATACTTATAGACCTTTCGCCTCCTATGAAGAATGTCGAAGAACGAACGGGCAATTGAAAGAGCTTCCTCGCCTTCGCAAACGTATGGTTTTCTCCATCTCCATCCATAGGTATAGGCAGGCATAGCCAAGAAGATGCGAGTAATTGGTGTCTTGACTCTTAAAACTCTTTTCTTTCTACTTTCATGGGATTGCAGACTTTGCATCCATTATTCCAACTGATGGACGATTCGATGCGATCCTGGAATAACGACGAAAGTAAGGTCATCCGCACGGAATAACGACGATGGGAACATTATGCTTCATTCCCGAATCGCAACATTAATTTCAGCCCTACAGGACCAGTTGATCGTTCCGTATCTGTACGACGCTGTCATCACGTCCTTAGTTACGCTCTCAGTCTCCCTACATTGGCGCTTCGACGCAAGAAAAAAAAAAACACATCACAGAGCACAATTCTAAAGCCTACCAAATAAAGCCTTCTTGCATCTTGCACGTTTCACTGCTGAATATCTTCTCATCACATTCGATGCCCGGTCTCCCTTGAGGAAGAACCGGAATGGGGGGAAATACAAGTATACCACAGTCCAACCACTCGAGGTTCAGTCCAAATTCTCACTGCGCCTCAGTAGCTGGGCTCAGTTGTATGAATGAGGGGACTCCAGGGATTCTTGTTTGAAGCCGTCATTCAGGTACGAGAAGTGAGTGAGTGTCTGAGAGAAATCGGAATGGAATCCTGCCGTCATTCGAGCATGAACATATGGACTGGAATCCGGTTTGGTACCATTGAGTACCATGGAAGACGGACTGTGACACTCTGATGGTGAAAATGTTTCCTGTAAAAGTGGAGCATGACCCCCATCGAGTCCGAGCCCAGCTTGAAGAAGACCAGTCGGATTCCTCTCACCCTCTCCGCCTCCACCTACAGTGACAAATCGCAACTCAGCATAATGGATCCTCCCATCATTAGTCCTAACGTTAGACTCTCGCCAGCTTTAGCCCAATTCCCGAGGGCATCAAATGAGGACTGTATCCTCTCCTGTCTGCAGGATAAGCGGTTCTACCTAAACCAGAATTGTGATTACTTTTTTCCGTTTAGAGGAAAGTTCTACTGGACGACAGCTGTCCAAGCAGCTCTGGAATGCTTTCTGTGCTAGTTTCCAACAGTGAATTGGACAAAAAATTGTTACCTCCAATAGGAAGCATTTCTTTCAGCAGAGGATCCAACTTGGCCACTCCGTACAGTTTGGCATTTTGGATTTGCTCGACCATTTGATTTGTGATGCTCTGCAGGGAGAGGAGCGTGAGCATAAGTTTTCCGAATCTCCCTCGGTGCTCGTATTGCCGCTCCATGATGTAATCTTCCAGATTCAGGATCACCTGATCGCGCAGATTCTTTATCCTTTCCCGTTCTCGTACTCCTTTGGCATCTGCATTGGAAGAAACCATCAACAATAAATCCGAATTCTGAAGATTGAGGCTCAAGTAAAGCGCATCCGTGAACATGAGGATGAAAAGCGGAGATGCAAAACTCTATCTTGACATTCTAATGAGACGCGGAAGTTCCTGGAGCTAGCTAATCTGCATGTATATTGTCCTCCTGTCGTAATCTCTCTTTCCATCCTATTCCATGGACGGCTTTGGAGATCCGCATTGAACAAACAGAACGAAAAAAAATCTAATATTGGAAATTGTCTATCTTCATAAATTAACACGGGAACCATCAAGTTTGAGATCATCATAAGAGCCTACATTGATCGAAGAATACGATGGCCTTGAGGCAAGCGAATTCGGTATCATCAATGGCGACTTCTTGCAAGGGTCCAACCAGTTCATCCATGATTCTCGCTCCCACGCGACTCACCCCAATATCTGAAAGAAAATCAGAGTGAATGGAAAGATACAGGTGTTTGATTAAAAACGTGAAAAGAAGCGGTGGAAAAAAAAAACCCAGTAACATCGATTCAGTCCATTCATTCCATCCATCCATTCCATCCCTTGGTAGTGAGAGCTTATCGAGAGAAAAGTGTTGACTCATTTCTCTCTGGACAGGCCTATACGAGGCTTCGTTCCTGCACTTACAACAAATATAACCGTCTCAGATCTGATGTGTCGTCGACGTCTGATCGGATTCCAGAGGATTTCCTATCTGTCTGTCAGATCTTATTTTTTCTTTCTTTGATTGGCTTCCACTCACCGGAGGAGTGTCGTCGGATGATGGAATTGTTCCCAAGGAGAAGAACATCTTTAAGGTGCATAGATCTTCGAGCGAGACCAAGGAGAAGATGTTCGCCTGCGTGAGCCCGAAGTAGTGCTACCTGAGAGATAGGGAAGAACGTATTCAAGATGACTGTTTCTGTCATCAGGCGAATATGTCTAAAAGATTGACCTGATCGTCGATGGAAAGCTTGGCAAAGGCAGGGATGTACTTGGCCCATTCGACCAGGATGTGAAGTTGTTGCTTCATAGAATCACACACGTCGTCGATATTCGCCACTCGTTTCTCATGAATATTGTAGTCCAAATAAGGCGGACCTGTCTGCACACGAAATGCACGATTCATTCAACTGTTAGGATAGGAGGGCACAGAAGCCTGAACAAGAGAAACTTTGTCTATGACAAAACCCTGCAACGTGTTGTAAAACTTAAAGCAAAGCAATAAATAATGGCAAGGCATTCAGCAATAAAAGAAAAAAATCGTTGAGGGAGGAAAAGGGAAAGAAATAACGACTTTTGTATCCCCCTGAGACTTCTTACTTCCCCAGTAAGAGACTTCCCCAGGACTATGTACACATCCTCCTTACTCCTTACCCCCTCCTGCCTCATCATCTTCATCTTCCCGGTTTTTTCGCTTCCCATATAAATCCCACCCACCACCTTCCCCCCTCTTTCTTTCCTTCGCTGTCTTACCTCTTTCAGTCCTCCGCGTCATTGCAAGCTTAAATGAGACCGTGCTCCGAGGAAAGTAGGAAACCTGCATTATAATTTCTCCTTTTCGGAGACATTGTGAGATTTGCGAGACAAGAACCTCCGGTGAATACCATGAACACTGCTGCTTGCTCAAGGACTCATGTTGCATGGAAAGAACATTTCATCAATGGCTTCCTATAATCAGAAAATGTTTAATGAACGACGTCAACTTTCACAGTTGTCTCAGGCTGTTCGTAAAACGTCTGGGGGAGAAGAAGAAACTGCTTGCAATTGATGACGTACTCTTTATGTTCCTCATGACGTGACGGTGCATCAAAAGAGATTATCATAAGATAAGGGCAATAATCTGGAAGAAGTCTCATGCGATCATGATGAGCAGGAGGGGTTTCCTACTAGCCCGTGCCTTTCAACACCTTCATCAGGAAAGCAATTCCCTGGAAGCAAATAAGCGAGCCTCTCTCTCTTTCTCTCTTTCAGGAAAAAGTTTATCGCTACCCTCTCACGTCTCCCTCTTCCCTTCACGGAAGCAGAACCTCACCTGACGGGACATAACTTCAGCCTGAAGGAGGGTCTGCACCGACAACCCCTCGATGATACGGGCTTCCTCGTAATTTGCACGCCTGCTGCTGATGCGATCCCTCTCGATCTGCACAGCTACGTAGAAAATAAAAATAAAAATAAGAAGGAGGCGTCACGTTGTGATACATCGATTCTAACAGCTCCTCCTTATCGGGAAGTGAACAAGGGCCCAATATAGTTCTTTGCGCCACCTGCCAGATAGCAGATAAACTAGGCACTCCAAGCAGTCTCCTGGAGAGGGCTACCACGCATGCACCCCTATCCAAGCTAATTCATGCTTTCCATTCCAACATATACTTGGCCCGTTTTACCTTTCGGTGTTTTCTTATCCGTGTATGCACAATATGTGTATGCCTGAACCTCAAAAGGTTGAATCCCATCGTAAATTTTTTTTCTGTCTTCCTCATTTGTCTACAATGCATGTACACACGACTCGCGCATGCTTCCAGACATGACCGGGAGCTCAATTTCCTGGTAAACGTCATAAAACAGGCTGAGGTCTTCGCCCGAACAGAATGGAAGGAAATTAGAAAAGCAGGGAGAAAGGGAACTAACCTTCTCGTTTCATGCCTACACGAAGGCATTTGTTGAGGCGGCAAAATCGACACTGATTCCGACGGTCTTTGTCCACCGGACAGTTTCGCTGGAATCTAAAACACACAGAGACGCAATAATAAATAAAAAGTACATCTGTCATTCATTGGTCACCCGTTCCACTATGCGGTGACTAGCGCAGCAGAAGAGACAACTCACCGGCAAGCATAGGCTTGGTTTCTTCGGACTGATCTCCGGAAGAATCCCTTGCATCCATCACAAGAAGCAGCTCCGTAGTGCTTCCCAGTAGCTTTATCACAACACACAGCACAGAGAGGAGGATGAGAATCATCTGCAGGCACCCGACGACTCAAAGGCCCCGATACTTCCTGGAGTCGCCCTGCTTCCGTCGGGTGGATTCCGGCCAAATCCAACTCCAGCAGCGTCTCTGTACAATATGATTCGCACATCTCCGTGAACAGAATTATCCTAGAGGGTCAGGAAGACCGCGTTCAACAGTGATCGACGTTCGATCTTCTCATGGAGCTGAAAGGCGAGACCTAAATTCAGAGGATGCATCCATCAATGTCTTGTGGATACAGGAGAAGAGAATAAGCGTACCACAGCGTGGTCAAGATGCGTATAGCATCATGGGGGATTGAACTCCTCGGTCTCTTCTCAGATAACACATTGCATCCATTCGATTCAGATGGATACCCTAGATCCGCCGCCAGTGTTCAGATGTTTTTTTGTTCAAGTCAGAGACGACGAAAGAAGATTCCCTTCGAGCATGCCCGAGGATGAGCCATGATGACATTGCATTCCTCAGGAATCTCTCCGATAAAGCAGCGTCTGCCTCTCCCTGATATCACCTCACATCCATGTAGACGATGGCATATATATGGGCAAGCATGGCCACCACACATACACCCCTCTGCTCATTAGTGTAGATAGTATATTCGCAACTGCTGAGCTCAGCAAACCCAAGTCAAAATAAAGAATGTCCCATTTCCTCTGCGTTCACCACTCGCTAGAGAAAGGCCTAAAATCAAAATACGTGCTGAATAGATGCTTAACCCTCACTGTGATTAATAATTTTCCGATGCTAACGCATATGCACGAAACTGCATCAAGGTGCACGAAGCTATAATCCTTTTCTTCCTTGACAATCCCATTTTGTCGCCTTGTCATAATGAAGACAGACTGGAATAAACAGATAGACAGAATACAGGATATATTCCTTCCAGAGTAATTGGAAAAGAGGCCAGTGCTTCGACGATTTCGAGTGACATGTCACCTCTTCTATTGAATCGTTCAAGAAGCATACGTTGAACAAGCTTTTTCTCCTGTTTTTCTTAGCTTTTTTCTCTCTCGGTTTTCGCACCGCACGTGGTTCCGCTTTTCCGTGAGAACTGAGACTGAAAGGATTCTTGTACGAACGCAGACAAGAATGACGTGAGGTTCGAAATAGACGTAATCTGATCTCTTATCGATGCCACGAAGAACTAAGAACACGTTTAGGCGATCGAGACTCCTGCAATGTGAGACGCTTATCAACGCATACTCAACCACGCGCCTTCCACTCCCATCTTTCTGTCTATCCATCTATCGTCCATAAGCCAGCATTTTCTCTTTTCTTGCGTGTCAAACTCACTGACGAAATCCTGTGCGCGAGTTCTCTGTTTCGTCTTATACGAAAATGGCCTACGAAGAAAAAGAGTATAAGAATTAGAAAACAAGGACTCCTTCCAGGATATCTCGAATGGAATTTAAATGGCTTTGAATTAAAGCAAGAGCATACTTGTACGTCCGTGCCATGATAAACCATGCATTGATAAGAAGGGATAACTCAGACCTTATCTTGGACTGCTCATGGGAAATAGCTCTGCATATAACCACTCCAAATTTTTGTGTACCGAAACGCCACATTAGAAGACAAGTAGAAGCCACAACTTTACTTACCTTGAATTGTCAAGGGAGTTTCTTCATTTCTTGGGCTGCTGTCAGACCTCATGACGAGGAATAGATGGAATTACTTCCCCATAAGATAATACTATCAGGTATCATGATCGAGGATGACGTGGTCAACAGTTAGAACAGTGAATCTGGGAATTATTTCAAGCGGAAGTCGATAGCAATCGATATAATACCGCATTCCTTGGAGTTATGGCAGTTATGGTTAAACGTAATGTACTCTTCGGTCTTCTGCGAAGCCCGTGAAAGTCATTATTTATGCAGATCATTGTGGCAACGAGTAGGACAGTTTCATGGGGTTATTACTGGGTCCGCCCACTCACTTTTCGCCGATGTCAATTTATTCCAAATATTTGCCCACGATTTCTCTACTCCACTTTGCCTCTAACCTTGCTAACTGCGCCATCAAATTCAGAATTGCCAACAACGTAATAAGTATCTTCTATTTTTTCCACTCTTTGAAATATATTTTGGACTGGTTCGCTAGAACACATCGCTCGTGGCCTTCCATACTCCGAGTTTCAGATTAACGTTTTCGTTAACTCTTGCCGATTCCATGATTGCTGGTTCAGATTGAACCAGCAATAACCTTACCACATCGCGTATCTGCCATTTGGTAGAAAGGGTAGGAAAGACGGTATGTTGAGAAATCATGGGCCAGCTGGGTTAAAAAATAGTCGCGGTCGTGACCGAAAACCTGTTAAAATCCAAACTCACTCGTGATTTACACATGCTAGTTTTCTCATTCTCATCGTGAATTCCATTCAAGTCACTGAAGAAAATGGCGAAATGTTACAAGACTCTGGAGTTAGAACCTGAACCTTCTTAGACATTAGAATACTGTCGGAGGCATAATTGAATTCGGAGCGATATAGGGGTGAAGCACACAAGGTTGAAGCTGTTACACGGGTACTTTATACCTGCGTGCTTTGGGCTGGGAACTATCTTCTTAGCTAAGGGTCAGAGAAATACAGGGTGATTCGTTTTAGTACCCTGCCTGAGTTATTCACGTTTTTTAGGGTACTAACACGAAAGAATCACCCTGTAGATCGTCTTGGATATGCGAATGTTGTGAAAGTCCGTTGATGTTTAAGACAAGCCAAAAACTCGCCCTTGCAAGGAAGCAGTCTATCTCGAAACAAACAAAAAATTGTTTTACTTGAAAAAAAATTAGCTCCAATGAAAGCCCGATTCGCAGGTAACCCTCAATTGCCATTTTTAGCATGTGAAATGGAAGAAGATACGAGGAAAATTGAAGCATGGAGGTCTGTCACGGAATATACACTTTAGGACTCAGAGTAGCTCACAGAGACAGGAGACTAACCGCTTTCATGTCCGCTGGAGGACGGAGAAGGGAAGTTAGGATCAGACGGTGGAAGACACATCGACTGATGAGCCGGAGGGGGCGGTGGTGGCGGATGGAGATGAACAGGAGAAACAGCAGGGGCAACTGCAGCAGGCGTACTTGCGGTAGGAGCTAGGGGAGAAGGAGCCGACGAAGAGGAGGAGGATGATGTTGAGGGTGGTGGGCGGAGGGAGTTCAGGTATGTTGGAGTCCTTGTCCTCGCCCTCTTCCCCTCCTCCATCTGGTCCGGAGGTCAACTGGCCTCGAATCCTGACCTCTGTTCGTTACTCAAAGCCTACTTCCACTCTATCAAGACCTATCTCATCTACGGGTACTAGAGCTGACACGGGGGCCACTCCTCCTTCTGCAGTGATAACGCACTGTTTGGTTCCAGTAAATATTACACGCTGATACGAGAGACAGGGCTGCGAGCCGCTCGTTCGTCAGCCAATGGCTGGCTCCTCTTCGCTGTGTTGGATATGCGTCCGCATGTGAGGAGCCAGGTGCAATCATCTCTACCCTTCTTCTTGGGTTTAACATCGTCTCACCACATTTGGTTTCAAGTGACTTCAAACCTATGTGTCATGGTCTTATGCTGTTATTTTTCCGAGCTCACATCATCTCGGAAGTGAAAGTGACAAGCTGATTACCTCATCATGAGCTGTGGGTCTCCTTGATTGTTGGAATCTATACGTGACAGAATGCGCCTGTAAAGATTTTGGCAGTGACGAAAGTCGAGAGTTTCATCTACCGGCATAATTGTCTTCTCCAGGAGTCTTGATCTATCCCTGATATTGTTATAATCCACCTAGAAACTCACTTTTTCGAACACAATCTTCCTGTGTCCGCATGCAAGTAGATGCATTTGGTTGGCATTGGTTTTCCGTAGGTAATTACGGCCAATAGGTTGGAAAAGAAATACATTTCATGCTGTTCCATCAAGCGGAAATAATCGCTTTTATTCGCAAAAGCTATGTGAACAAGAACTGTATCTTCATCATGACGTGAATAAATCCTTTTTTATGGATAGACAGAACTGAGAAGAGCGTGGAAGTTGCGGGTTGAATCGTGAAGCGTGTAAGAACATGTATTTCAGGAGATAGGCACTTCTACGACACTGTCGGCGTCCTCATCCGAATGGTCATTGTCTTGTTCATTATCGCTTTCAAGCGATATTCGCTCCTCAATCACCTAGCAGAGGAGCAATCATTTGCATAACAGAAATGACAACTAGGCCGTTTCTAAGCTGTAAAATGTTGGACAAATGGTTTTCACAAATTTTTAACATTAATTATTAGCTGCTATGAAGAGCAGAGGTTTGAAATCTCTCCCATGACTTGCAGAGACCTTTTGATATGTTTCATCAAAATGCAGGGACAAGAGCACTGTAACATCTAAACTCCTGCTTTCTTTGCAAAGGAGGGAATGGACTGCGAAAGATCCCCTTGAGGCTTGAAGAGCTCAACAGAATCCTCGTCAGGGGCACGGCACGATCCTACTCAACCACTTGGTGTTAAGGAATTTTTCGGAATCTGTTAAGAATCGGTAGAACTTAGAAGATAATACAGGATACGGTGAAACTGTTGTTAGCTACTCTCCTCGCTGCCCAACTTATGCCACCGCTACAACAGTGCAAACGGTGCAGAAACTTCACTGTGTTGCACGAGTGCTACCAGTACATTGCGCTTAGCAGAACAGGATGCATGATTTATAACTCCCTATTTTTAATGTTATAATTTCTTTTTTTTAATAATCAGAATCACATGAAACTTATCACATATTGTAGAGGAATTAATTAGGGTTTTGGTGGGTTAATAGTGCGGGTGTTAGTCGTAATTGTGGGGAATTAGTATAGTTTCCTAATGCACTTTAAGCAAAGTTCTCAAGGTGATACTATTTTCCCAATCATTTTCCGTTATTATTGCAATTGACCTGTTTCGTCATGGGTGCAGGATCAACCGAGGGCGTTAACTGCTAGCAGTTTCTGCTATCATTTCTGAATTCCATATAACTACAGAGAATTAAACATTCTAGCCATAGTTTGGAGCCTCATGTCTATTTTTCTTCAGTTTCGGAGTCTAGCTTTCTTCTGCCAATCCCCTCTGCCTGTTTGACCTTTTGTCAATGGATTGGAAGTGTTTGTTACAAGTTTTCAGAGTTCCTGCTGTAGCCTTGGTGCATTATGATGCTGCTGCAGCTGCCTGCTCTGCCAGAGAACAAAGACAAGAATGACAGGACTCATCATGTACCCATCGGATGGGCTGGAAAATCCTGCACAAGTTGCAATCTCCATGTCATGTGCATAGGAAAACGGTACTTAATGGATTAAACTGAAGCGAAATATGAGAAACGCATTTGTGCGTCCATCGCGTGGAGTAGCAGTGGGCGTGGACGCTCCTTGGTGCAGGCTTTGCGCTAAAATTGGATACGAACTGGAAATCCATGGCCAGGATATTTGTGTTCAGCTTCGTGCTCCTCCGCTCAAATTTCATCATTACATACTTGGCGAGGGTCTCTGCAGGTTATGTGAGACGTGTACATCCACATCATACCAGCGCAGAAATCATGAAAAAATCATGCGGAAAACATTATTTCAAGGACTTCCGTTTTGTTATTATGAACAATGCTTTCTTTTAGTTTATTTTGGCGAGCCCCATGAAAACGTCAGATTAACGTTTGCTCTTTCTCCTAAAAATGCTTTGAAGAATTATACCTGGAGTAATTTGGGACGATACTCTTCTGGAGTCTCTCCAGGAGCCCTGGGTGGCAGGCGCTCATTTGCTCTCCTAATGATCACTTCTAGATCATCATTTGTCATTATTTCGATAGGATCGAGGCGATTTCGACGAATTAGCGTCCCCAGGTACTCGATGTAGTGAGATCTGAAACACATCGCCAATATCTGGTTGTGAATGAACTTGACGTGGCTTTTACCAGAATCCAGAGTTTCATTCGATTCGTCTTTTCGTTGTTACCTGCAGAATCCAGCAAATCCTTCGGGGACGGGTTCTCCACATATCCTTTCTTCGTATCCAGAAAGAGTTTCTCTAAATTCAATCACTTGGCAATGAACTTTAGACCTTGCTCCTGTTTCTGTCTGTTCCTCCTTCCCCACTATTGTCAAGAACTCGATCCCACGAGCCTTCGACGAAACGCATACGAACTCTTCAATTATTTGAGGATAGGGAACGAATCAAGAATGAGAACTGCATACCTTCAAGAGTCTCTGAAGATCTACCGGTTCCTTGTCTCGCAGATAGAAGAGGCAGTTCCGGGGATGATGCGCATGAAGCCCCAATTTTTGACAATATTCTCCGACGTTGCAATTGGAACCCATGCGGAAAGGTCTCTTACATCCACTACAGAATTCGTACTTGCATTGGGAGCAGGTAAAATGCATGCAGCCTCCCCTTGCAAGGAGATACTTAAAGGTGCAATTGGGACATTGGATTCCGCTCTCTTCCAACTGCTCTCTTATGACAGCTTCTTGCCGTGCAGGATCGTTGTCTTTCTGCCATTGAGCGAATTCTTCACAGGAAATCCCGAAATGTTGAATTTCCCACTACCAGCCGTGAAATCCTCACTTAGTTCTCTGAATGATAAGTTAATTGGAGTTAGAATATATAAAAGGAAGCTCACTTTCGCTTTACAGTCGCCACAGAAGAGAAATTTGCACTCGGGACACTCCAATTGCTTCCTCTTTCCCTCGGCTATGAACCCCGACGAGCACTGGGGACGACAGAAACGTTTACCATGCGATACAAATAATCTCATTTCCACGAAGACTACTTTCCAAGACCAATCAGATGTTCTTACCTGAACGCACCATTTGAAGTCAGGTTCATTCATCAGGCTCCAATCTCTCAACTTCCGATGGAAAAGATCGTGGACTTGGGGCTCGACCAAAGTCTTGAGCATGATGTCCAAGTGATTGAAGTATTCCTGAGCCACTTCTTCATTGGACAGATCTGGACTGCTGCATGTGGGACATTTGATTTCCAGTACGCTTCGCTCTTTGATACAGAACGTGAAGTGAGCCTTTGCACATTCCACACAACATTTATGAATGCAGTTAAGCATGGATACCATCTGCGAAAAGGAAAGAAGGCGATTCTCTGATTGTAGAGGGTGGTGGGATGCATTCAACGAGAACTCCTTAATGATATCCAGAATTTCCTCACCCTTTTGATGGGAACTTTGAGGAGGCAAATCTCACATTCCTGTTGCAGGTAGGTGATGGCTGCAGAAATGCTGGAACATTCTCTGGCAGCGTAAATGGAATCCTTTTCCTTGAAACTGAGGTCCATCAAACGAACGGCTCTCTCAGCTTCGTCGTACGATCGAACGTGCCCCTCCGCTAGCAACCGTCGTGCTCTCCTCTATATTCGAAAATTATATTATAATAATGTCAAAGACTTTTAATCAAATTGGAATCCAAGCACTTCCAGCCTTTGAAGATCATACATGGAATTGGGAATCAAGGTCGTCTGCAGGATTGAGCGACTTGTCTCTAGTTTTTTCCGGTAATGGCGGGGAGAATTCAGGACTATCATCGTCTGAAAAGCAATGAAAGCCTCCCATGAACTACAGGTTCTTGAAAATTAGGGTTACTTCATTTCCTTGGCAATGGTACAGCATCTGTCGACTGAGTCTGGAACAGGTTCGATGATCGGGGGAAACAAAAAAATAATCTTAACTATCACCAAGCGCCTCTACTACTTACAATACCGAAATTGGAACAATTTGTCAGTCGTGTCGAGACAAAAACGAGCATGCAACGACCTGCAGCTTCATTTTCTTTTCTCTGTCCGTCAGTAAATTCATATGCACTTTCAGTTTAAGATGTTGAAGGCATTGAAAGGGGTCCTGATTGAAACTGAAATAAAGCCTGTAGACGCGGCTAATTAGCTGACAAAGAAACACACGAAATGAAGTCAATCATAGTTCTGAGATAGCGTATAGTCCTCACGACGAAGTCGAAGAATCGTATTTTTGATCAAAGGAGCACTTTCGTTGTCCTTCCCCATCGGTGGACCTGAGATATTCATCTGGAATGATGCTTCCTTCTCCTGTCTCTTCAGTAGAATCTTATGGGCTGCATCCACGTCGCCACTCGCCTCTGTCAATGCCTCGATAATCTCCTCCCCAAGGAAAGGCCCTCTCGCTGACAGCTCTGTAAACTGCATAGATGAATCATTTCAGAGATATTCTCATACTCCGAGGTTTTCCGGTAAGTCCTCTAATAAGAACCTTTTCATGGCGCTGTTCCGCGCATTCCGTGACGGAAGCCCAGATATTGCCCTTGTTAACTCGCAAGGCTTTCTTCGCCTCTTCACGAGAGATCCTGCCAATGTCATTCTTTATCTTGTCATGTCCATAATTCATGGTAAGGGTGATGACGGTGTCGGCCATGTTATTCCAATTATCCTTGAGCCACTGCAAAGGCTCCTTGCTTCCGGAGAACAGGATCGCCGTTTGAATGTCTTCGGCCGTGAAACCAAGCTGTTGGGCTTCCTATGGAACAAAGAAATCCAATTTTATTTTTATTTTGCTTATTTCCTTTCATTCTTCGCAAGGTAAAGGCACTCGCCTGAAGTATGGCAAGAATTTCCATTCCTTGCGCTTTCATGTGATTCTCCTTCCTCGTAACTAAGAGGTCTTCGGTAGTTGTATAATAGCCTGCCGGTCTTCCGGACATGTTTCGTTCGTCTTCGTTAACATCCTACGTAAAGAAAAGACGTATTGCGCGTCAGATATAAAGCCAACTTGAGATGGGCAGAGGATGAAGTAGTAGATTTCTACTTTGAATTCCGTCTGATAGCCGCTATCGAGATAATGGGGCTCTGCGAGGTCTGGCCTGCTTGAGTGTCGCGATTGAGCTCCCATTGGACTGACTTCTCCAGATCCCGTTGAAACTGAATCATTGGGCTATCGAGATCGCAGGAAATGTCTTCATCTTTCAAGTTTCAACTTGCCGAGCGGAGTAACAAAAATAAAAGCGAAATCGGCAGCATGTCAACACTTACCTGAGGGCTGTTGTGACGAGAGAAGAAATTGCGGTGTAAAGTCCTGGCTCGTTGTTCAAAGCTTGCACTGAATGATTGGGCTCGATTCCGATGAGATCCTTGAGTGGGTTCGTCGTCGCCAAAGGAGGTCCGGGAAAAACTTCGAGGCATGGATCCCGTCCTCAACGTCCTCGACGATGGGGAAGTACCGTAATTCCGGCTCATACTCGTTCCGTAAGTTCTTTTATCCGGCATATGGTCATCACCTGTCTGTACATGCATCCATACATACATGCATACGCAGCTCAATAGGGCAATATATAATGATATAATAATAGATATCCGAACTCGACAAGAAACTATGTACCAAAATACTCCCAAATATTTGACAGTTTCTTGTATAATCTTTAATTGTGAATGGAGAGAGGTTTCTTTTTCTTGACATTAGGCACTTTATCTCTTAAAGTTCGTTCTTTACTCTTGACTAGCAGAACTGGGGCTTTTGCGCGAGTGTACTCTCACCAGCTTACAGTCTACGGCCCACTGAATATATTGAAAATATATTGAAGCATATTGCAATCAGGAAATTTTGAATCTTTAATTGATCGAATGGACATCCGTGAGCTCTTCATTTCAATGACAATGAACAGTTGAACGAAAGTTCGAGGTACGATTCCCAATTCATAATACGAGTACATTCAAAGTGACATTTGAAATGCTGGTGAGAGAGCAGTATTGCCTAAATTCCTGGGCTGCTCCGTAAAGTGTAAAGAAAGCATTTCAAAATAGAAATGAATTATTCATCCCAAGAAAAAGCATCTCTCCAACACTGCAGTGAAACTCTAAAACCCATACTTGTGTTGTGTCGGAAACAGACGTGGCATCGCCCAGCCGCATCAGCTATTCAATAGATAATTCATGGGCTCTCCTTAATCGCGTTCCTGCTCGAGATGAAGTCAGATCCAGCTTAAAGGGAGCTAGTACTACTGTACAGATCTATTCCCGACAGGACCCAGTCTAATATCCTTCTTTCATGATTATCTAGATAGGCCTACATTATCAACCTCGAACCCTGCTACTATCTATAATTTATCAATCAGCCGAAACGCGAAGCAAGCGAGCCCAAGCTTTTGGAAGGAGTGAGTGACATTACAATAGTGGAGGGAGGATGGAGGGTAGTGTGGGGGAAAAGGGAGAAAGCTGGAGATCCTGCAGTTCAGATTCCATCTCAACATTCTGTCTCCCTCTACGCCTGACTCTTTGCCGAGAAACACCTACATGTAAGATTTTCGCTAAGATGTTTTTTTTTTTGGCTCGAACTTTGCTTAAAAGGAATTCGGCTCAGTCTTGTCCATTTGTCCGCATATTTTTTCCCATATCATTTTTTCATCCTTTTTTTCGTTATTGCTGGACAACGAAAGTAGTAACAGACAAACAGACAGGACAGTACTTTAAACTGCCTCTCCTTTTGAAGAAACAAGTCAGGCCAAAAGCACTTGGAACTTGATTGTGCCCATTTCACATAATGCAAGAGAAAATTATAAAGGAAATGAAGAATCTGATGGAAGGAGGGGTGCTCTGAAATACTCTTCTCTTCCTTTCCTACTAAGCCCCTTATTTTTACAATAGTCCTCGGCGATATTTCATTCATATATTGAACTTGCTAGTATACTTTCCTAATTGTCTTGCTTGGCGAATGAGGATATACAGGTGGAAGGGGATGAAACGGGAGACATGACATCGCTTCATCACCTGGGTGGAAACACTCTGAGGAGGGGGAGAAGTAGCCTTGGTAATGAATTTCTTGAATGATGCAGAGGGACTGCTTTGTCTCGGAGTGATTTGTAAGACACCAGACGTGACTCCTGGCTCTGCTGTCACGGCTGACTGCGACACAACTCGAACACTCAGATCTGATTGTTGTTGCTGCCCCCGGTTCGATGGTTCCTCTTCCTTCTCATCCGAGGATTGTTTCGTCCCTAGAAGAGAATCGAGTGTTTCACGCACTGGAGAACTGACCACTAGAAACATGAAATGGTGTCACGTTTCATTGAGACAACCCCTTTGTTCCGTTGCAAACAATCCAAGAAATGAATTTCCTCGTCTTTCAGGCTAGAAGCAAAACATCAACAATCTAGGAGTTTCTCATTTCTTTCTAAGAAACATCGTGATCAACATGTAGAAGTAAGCGATGGAAGAATAATGCTTTTTCCCACCCCCATCCACTAATGCCTCAGAAATATGATCAGAGAGTTTGATTATTAGGAAATGAAAAGGAACCTGACCGTTCGCCAGTTTTGACGTCTCCATCTTCTCTTCCTCCGATTGGCCACCTTTCAAACTCAGATTCCGAGTGATGTTTTCTCTCAAGCTTTTCACCATGCCTCTCAGCTCAGTTTTAGACAGGCCCCTTTCCTCCTTCATGGCTCTTTGCCCAGAATCGCTTTCATCTGATTCAGAGGAAGGGCTTCTGACTGGCTTCCTCCCCTTTTTTCTGGATCCTCTGTGCCGAGGGCCAGGCAACTTCCGACTGCACGTCTTACAACACATAGCACAAATTCTCTGCTCCGGGGGATTTATGTACGTGCAGTGCTCACATTGCCACTTGGAGGACCTGGAGGAACTAGAACTCAACCTCCTGACCGGGGATGCAATCCTACCAGATATGTTGCACGGGAAATCTCCATCTCCACCTTCGTCACTCTCTACCGGCGAATAGAATTCGTCTGAATCTGAGCCTTTCCTGCTGCTTTTAGCAACCTCGCGTGGTTTAGGGAATTTGGCTTGCACTATAGATTGATAGTTGGACTGTGGGAGAACATTCATGCTGGCGGCTCTCTGTGACAGAGGCTTCATTGCAGGCGGTTCCGTGCTGCATCGGGTCCGTTGATACGTCCAGTTGTTGTCTGGGATTTCGTTGTCGCTCGGGACGAAAGGGGGTGTTTGTGCTCTCCATGGAAAGGTATTGGGTTCTTCTCTGTTTCCTGTCATCCAAACCACATTGTGACAAGATGGACAGTTCAGCTGAGCCATCGACTGCGCCTGAAATTGAAATGATACAGGAGGTATGACAAGGCAAATATCAGCAATTGGAATCGCCTTTACGAAGTGCTGCAATTCAGAGTCGGATTACTTACTTGATTCAAGCCATTTATAGGCATGATGTCTTCATCGGGCATGTTGGAGATCGTGTTTAAGTTATATACACTTGAACTGATGGAGTTCATCCTGTTCGAATTCATTTGACGCCGAGGAAATGGACCGAATGTGTTCATTCTGGTTTGTAGATCGGGAACGTGATCTGGGAAAAAGGATTGATGTAGGCTTTGTGTCGACCTTGATAGGGAACCCCAATGACCAGAACCTGTCTCCAAATTCTCTGCCCGAACAGGATCCTCCCATTCCTCGTTGAAGACCTATTTGTTAAAGAAGGAGCAGAATCAAATTCGTTGTCCATGAACCTTTGAACCATGAACCATGAGCTTTCATATAATGCAGATGAAAAATAACCAAGGCACCTACCCCATCGCAGGATTCTATGAAGGGACTTGGCTCCAAACCTTCCCTTTCAGATCTCCAAGATCGTGGCGGTTCTAAGGTATTCCGGTATGGAACTCTCCAAGGCACCGGCTGGTGTTCCAGTTGCTGCTGTTTCTGTCGCAGAAACATGAAGGGCTCTTTTTGGTGAAGTGGCTGTTGCTGCTGTTGACGTTGCTGTTGCTGCTGCCTAAATTGATGTAGACGTTGAAGGTGGAGGTGTTGTTGCTGCTGTTGCTGGAATTGGTGCTTATTTTGAAGCTGCTGCTGTTGGAGTTCAGGTTGACGCTGCTGTGGCTGTTGCTGTTGAACTGCTTGGTGGTGTTGATGGTTTAATGGAGATGGATGCAGGTCAAGATTTAATCTGATGGGGTCTTTCACGACTCTATTTTCCATGATAGATTGGAGGGGATAATGGTTGCGTCCCGGTGAAGGTTGTCTCTGGAAAGGCAATTGGAATACATGGCGCCTTGGGATTGTGCTGATCGGAGGAGGCGTGGGAGGCTTGTCTGAATCCTCTATTCCTTCGCCATGAACTCCACCTAAAGGGATATATAAGACCTCTTTTCGTGGTGTGCAACTCTTGATTTCAAGAGTGTAACCTTATTTGATGAGTAGGCCCTATATACTAGTCGAGTTGGCTGCCCTTCGCAAAAGTCCCTCAATCAATATTCATGTAAAGGGAACACCTTGAGGTGATCATCAGATGTCGTCATCCCGACCCAACCACAATTTAAAGACTGCATATGCTGAAAGAAAATTCCAGGAACTATCAATATGTAGTACGTCGAGAAATGTATGGCACCTAGACGCGGATTAGGATCCCTTACAGGATCCTATAAGAACTCTATAGAATTCCTATGAGAATATTATACGATTTTTATGTTTCAAAAATCTCATAGTATCCTATAGGATCTTTTCGTATGGGCAGCAAGTGCTTGAACGTCTTTAGGATTTTTCGCCTTAATTAGAGAGCTGTTCTGTCATCCAAATTCGCATCGATAATTAACCCTTTCACTGGCAAACGGAAATTTACGTTTCCAACCTCCTCCTGGAGGCCACATTTGGAGGAGGCATTGACTGCTCCTGTGGGTCAAGAAACGCCAATGCCAGTGAAAGGGTTAATATCGACGCAGTTGCCAAGGATGGAGTCATTAGATACTTTCTACATAATCATGATATTCATTAAGTGCACGAAATCCAATTCTGTTTTCGTGAAGTTCTGAAGCTTGCAAGGAGAGAATGCCGTCCCTTATGAAAATGTCCTATAGGAAACCTATAGACTTTTCCTATAGGTTTTTGAAACGCGAAAAACCTAAAGGATCCCTATAGGCTCCAATAGGACTCCTGACCTTTAGAATTCGGTGAGGTTTTATGGGTTTCGAAAAACTGGCATTACATCCGGAATTACTACTAAATGGGATGACCACCGGGGTCGCTATTGGCGCTGCGTTTGGCTATAACTTGTATATCCACAACTGCCTGTACTATTCTGACTCTCTGTCCATGAGCACATTCGTCTCATGGAAGGGCAGGATGGCGCATCCACGAACCCACTTCCTTCCAGGGAGAGAGATTGACCTTTCTCCGCCCAACATATGGGAATGGTAGACCACTTGTGTTCTTCATCTTTCTACTGAAGCATCTTTCGAATAAAGAATGGGGTATAGGGCTCACACAGGGAATATGAGCTTATTTCTGGCATGGACTCCACGATTCTGTCTCGAATATGGGGATAGCAAATAAGGAAGAGTCCAAGTTTATTGATTAGCTGCAATGAGGCAAGGCGAGACATATGAGGAGGTGCTAAACACTCCTGTTAGAGATAATTCCATGGATAGAGGGAAGGGCATTTTTGTACACTCTAAGAAATGTGAGACCCATACCTCTACCTAGTGGCCTAGAGGAGAACTTCAAAAATTTTCCCAAAAACTTTCCAGTGCAACGTAGGCACATTGGATAGTGTGTGTTGGTTCGATATTGGATCGATGATAGAATGGCAATATTGGGAAGCCGATATTTACCCAATATTGGCAATATTGGCCAAGGTACAGCCAATGTGCCCAATGTAGGTCCAGCGTTGAGCCAATATCTGGTGCTACAAGAGTAGGGAGTGAACATTCCAATAAGTGACATTACAAAGTTGACCCAACGTTCAGCCAGTGTTGAACTTCAACGTTCATCTGAGTAATGCGATAAGCGACATTTAAATACTGAATTAATGTTAGATGCAATGTCCCCACGACGCTGAAAAGGTTCAAACTTAACGTTCATACAATGCTGATTGAATATTCGTTTGTTACCTGGGTCCTTCCTCTTGCCCCCAACACAGTGACGGATACAGGGAAAGGGAGGAGAAGGGGGGGGGGGAATTATTGAAGCGTCTTTCTATGAATAATTTATGTATCCCTATCTCTAACAGATGTGCTGTTCATCACGGACTTATGATATTCTCATAGGAACTTGATAGATCCTAAAGAAAGCCTAATGTATACTTATACTGTACATTCTTGTAGGAAACGTATAGGTCCCAAGGGCGTAGGAACCGGGGGGGGGGGAGGCAGGGATGAAAAATGCCCCCCTCACTTTTCCAGATGGGAGGGTAAAGGGTATCTTTTGCATCCCCCCCCCCCCCCTCTCCAACTTCTTAAACCTATCTCACTACACTTGTACCCGTTCAATGCTGAATTCTTGGAAGCTCCGTAAGTTACCCCAAACCTTTCATTTAAATCGAACTTCACTCCAATTACGGTCTCCCCCTAACCGCACCATCCCGTGTGAATGTCGGCACTCAGTAGGAGTTCTTTTTTGTCTTCGGTGAAAGATCTCCGATCCGATTAAACTTCGCCTCCGTTCTCTAAAGTCTTTGAAAAGACTTCTTTCAAAGACTCCCTTCAAACGTTTTAATGGTGGAAACGTTTTAATGGTGGAACAGTGAATAGAGGTTCAGTGCCATGTCACGGAAGAAAAGTGCTCAAACTGGATCGCCTTTTGATTTCATTACGAAACCAAAGACAGCAAAATATGAAGAAAATTCAGGAACGGAAAACTTCAACGATGTTGTATTATCGAAACAGGGATCCCTGTCTAACGTGTCCTTGGACACGTACAATCACCTTCACCGGGAAAAGTTGTCGTTCTTATATTAAAGGGATCTTTTCCCCGTCCCGTAAGTTACGTTTCATGAAACTATACACCGCATGGATTTCATACTTGCCTGCGAAAGACGCAGTTCTGTGCTAGGTATGTTGTGTATACATCAGCAAAGAGGTCTTTTTCGAAATTGAGACGGCTCAAGAATTGGATGCAGACGTCGATGACTAAACAGCGCCTGACAAATCTCGCATTGATGCATGCACATCAGTACATTTCGGACTCATTAGAGTTAGATAAATTGATTAAATATTTTGCTAAGAAAACCGAGGAAAGGAGAATATTTACATCCTAGTTTCACCCCCTATAGGTTTTATAGGAAACCTATAAGATTCCTATATATTCCTTTAGGAGACCTACTGTATAGGTCCTATGAGAAACCTATAGAAACATATATGATTCCTATAGGAATCTCATGGACTTCATACACAGTAGGAATGCGAATCAAGCAATCTTCCTTTAGGAAGCCCAAAGAATTCCTATATGTTCCTATAGGATTCCTATAGAATTTCAATAGGACATTTTCGCAACCGATACGCTTCTCGAACCGGATGCGCCGCTACTCTCCCTCAAGCGTTCGATGGAAGTATCAATTTCCGCTTTGCTTTTACAGGATTTTGACTCTAAATGAACTGCCCACGTGGAACAGTTTCTTCTTCAGTCTATATTATTGTTCCCTGCCACTTCAAGAAGTGCAACTCATCAAGCGGACAAAGTCGATCTTAATACGCCTTTTGAGCCTCACGCTTGGATTAGTACTAAAATGAATTATTCATCATCAAGATCAAGTTGCTGGCCTCTCCAGATTTTCCGTTTATGAGCCGTCACTGCTCTCAAGGGAACAATTCCTTCATAGTTCTATGCCTAAAACTAAGCATGAGACAAACGCGTCTCATCCCCAGGACAAATCATCTGTAAATAAATTGTAATAAATTGAAGAAATGATGAAGTGAATGGAAAGATCTCTTTAAGCGCTTAAGAATGAGATATAGAACATTCATCCAGCTTGAATACAGTAGTTTCCTTAAATAAAAAAACTACGGTATTCGAATTGGATGAATGTTTTATTTATGATATCAATCAGTTTTTGCTGAAGGTTCCGCATAGAAACATGTTTAGGTCAGAACTTCGCGACCTTATCATCCGGGAGCTATGATAATGCAAAATACTTGGAATGACTTCTTTCTTCAATGAGGTCAACTTCAAAGTCAAATTCCAAGAAAATCCGTGGGATGCCTCCCTCAACTCTTTCTTTAAATGCCGGACACTTGAAATAGGGTGGGAACGGGTTGGGGCAGACTGAGTAATTTTTTTTACATGGTTTCTCCTTATAAAAAAAAATAATAATCCTCAAGATTGGTTCTTCACTGACAAATAAGGATATGATTTTCTTGGACATCATGAAGAGTCTCATTAGACCCTACTTTCCGAACCTTCAGACCAAGTACCAAAGCTATTCCTAAGTACTATATAAATCGTCACCAACCCATTTTGAAGGAAGGTTGAAGAGGATCCTCATCTTGAGGGCTCAGGGGTTTCCTTCCGTACTGCATCAATCGCCTCAAGTTCCCCATCTTATCCCTCAAAGATAGTCCGTCCTTTGCCTTCCATTGCACATCCGCCTGCAACTTTTCATGCAATTTACATTCACCTTGATCAATGTCACTGTAAAATCTATGAAAACGCCAGGATGCGTTATCGCATGAAAGTCGATTGCGGCATTCAGGAAGAAATGTGAAATTCATGATATTCAATAATCGGATTTTGCATTCTTATTTACTGCTCGTGTGTGAAAGTCTTCCTCTCTCGTTTTGCGGAGTGCCATAACGATGGAGGAAGATAAGTGAAGCCATATTTTTTCTGTATGTACAGCAATCTAGGATGATTTTCCATGCTTCGGCCGAATGCGTTGCATTTGCATGCACGCTGATATATTGTGAACTGAAGGACGAAGAGACTAGACAAGCTCCATCCTGAAATACTCGCTCAATTAAGGTAATTTCGGCAACTTGTATGTTGAGAGTAATATATTAGTATAAAACTATACTTTTCCTTCTCTCACGAGAACTGAGTGGCGTCCGGTTATTTTCTGTTATTTTATACCGAAATTATTTCATAATTAAGGGTGGGGAAATTGGAAGTAAGGGACCATGAGCCACAATATCGTGCTCAAGCACTCGGGAACTGACTTAATACCAATGCAAGAGAACCTATCGTTAGAGAGGCCAGCAAGGCACTTACTTGATCATTCTTCAACGACTGAAAATGTGAAGTCGGGATGCAACGGAGGCTGGCAGTTCTTTTGTTCCGACGAGGGGGCGGAACAGGCTGTGTGTGAGAGAGTGACTCTCCTTTTGGAGGCAGGGGTGGCCTCGTCGATCCTTTCAGGGAATTCCGGGAATCCAATGCCTTCAAGACGTTCGCATTTCCCAATTTATGCATGACTGATTCTATTGCATGTTAATGCTCAGCGTGTAGGCGCATATAGAGGACTTTCAAGTATTGTTAGAGGAATCTCGAATGTAAAGGAAGTAATGCGAAGAAAGCCCATTTAAAATTAAAATCAAAGAGAATTAATAACGTTGCTTGCTTAAGGGGTTATGGCTCTGTAATATAATATATAGGCTATCCTGCTTCTTTCTGCACCATGACGTCAGCTGCAAATGCTTTTTTGTTGCTGGCTGGAAGCCAGTGTCAGCCGAGGACTTGGAGGGACATGCAATGGCATGCATACCTGTCTTGTGTGGACTTGTCTTTTGGGATGGCGATGGTACATGTCGTCACACGAAAGGCAGAAAACGTGTCCATTGCAACCCTCGCATCTCACGGCTGGATACGAAGATCCGCAGAGATCGCAATGGATGCTCCATCTCCCATAGGACAGCAGCTTCCCCCCTATAGCCAACATTCACGTCATCGAAGCCTTCGATTCGACAGGAAAGTTTGTCAGCAGGAAGTGATACATCTTAAATTCTATCCTGAAGTTGTGGGATGGTCTTTGTGCAAAGAAAAGAAAAATCTGGATAGTGTTAAGCTAAGTTCATTCAGAATCTTTTTCGGCGCTTGCCTCAGCAGGAGATCCTTAATTAACCAACAACTTGGCATGTTCCTGATGCTTCTATTCGTTTTTCGAAGGAACCCCATTATTTCGCCTGATATCCTGGTCTTGGCCTGCACTAGTTATTCAGTCTCCGCGGAATGGACCGAAGGCCGTCATATTGTCTTGGATGATTACTGTGGAACAACAACAAATCGAAGGTGCTTCGATTTGTTGGAATCAAAGGAAAATCAATCATTCATACAATGTCCCAACCTTGCTCCCATCCTTTCATGGATTGGTTTGATTTCATACTGCAATGATGTATATCTACCTTTCTGCGAATTCCTTTTGTGTGTCTGAATTTGAATCTGTCCAGAAAGACAGAAAAATAAAATTTGAGCGAATATTTAATATTACATTGCCCGCGACTCTGCTAGCGCGACTTGGTTCGCACAAGGTCAGCTGAACTTGACATGCACTTGAACCTTTAAAACTTAATTTTTTTAATTCATATTTATTGGGTTCATCATTGAAATGCGACTTGCAACGCTAGTTAATCGCGTCTTTCTGTTTTTATGGGTACATACATGCATTGGGAGACACTTACGTGTGGCAGAATCCATATTTAAGACTGAAGAGCACGAGAGGGTAGAAATAGAGGTACTCGTACCTCCCCCTGCAAGACTGAAATCCCCCTGTTCCTAACGCGACCCGGCCTGGGTTGAGATGCGAGAATGACAACGGGCAAAATGCCAGTTGGCCGACCTCAACCAGGTGCGAAAATAGGCAGTCTAATGTTAAGCGAAAAATGAAACACCTCTAAATCATAGATTCCGATTCACCCCTTTGTGTAGTTCTGGCATCACGTGCAGATTTCTATGAACCGATGTCACATCTCTATCAATGTTAGTTGCATGCGTACAACAAAAATGACTCCCTTGAAAGCGGGTGAACTACACACGGGACGCTGTCGCTTGGCTTCGGATGAAATAGATCCAGAACGGATGATTCATACAGGAGGATAGAGTTGATCAGCTCTAGTTGCTTAGAAGTCGGAGACCCTAAAGGATGATTGGACGCTGGTGTATTTCGAAGCAGCTCCTCTCTTGAAGATAGACGTTTCGTTTTACTTCCATATGGAAGTGCTTTTCGGCTTAAGTGCCAGCTCTTCACACGCGTTTGCTTTTCACAGGATCTCATCCGCAGAATGAAATTAAGAATAAAAACCCTAATAGACAAAGACAACAAGCTCAGTATATTTTTCGATTGAATAAACACGTTCATGAGAAAGCGTAGAAGTTTGCTCACCAACATTAAAAAGTTTGTACCAGCTCCATAATAACCATTCGATATATATGCAAGTATATCCATATAACCGCGCAACATCGAAGCATATACGAGAAAAGATTGTCATGCTCAGCACACAGTGCATGCTCTTTTCGAGATCATTCTGAAGGAATTGCATCAGCATGGAATGAAATTGAAAAGAGATTGAAAGGAAGAAACGATGAGCTGTATCAGAGCATTACGTCAGCGAAAAAAACTTTCGATGTAATTTTCCTCAAATTCATCAAGTTTGAATTGCAAAGTTCCTGATCTCTCTATAAACTTCGTGAATTAAATCGTTCAGAAATGTATATTTCACGACGTTAATACGTAAATATTCATTAATAAAGAGATAGCAGCACAAACGCAGAGGCTATCGCTCCTGCAAGAGTATTGTTGCTTCACAAAGCTTTCATTCCATTCAAGATTTTTAATGGCTTTCTTTTCAAAGCATCGAGAATAGCATGGAATCACAGTTTGCAAATGAGCGTCCCGAAGCCACATACTTCACAAAAAAGTCAGTACGAAACTCAGGGAAGGTGAGGGTTATGTTGAGATTGGTCAGAATAAAAAAATGTTGAGAAATATTGCTGGAAGTCAATCGAACACGGATTGATGCACTGAATATTGAATATACGAGACTCTTACACTTGCTCCCTGCAGTGAAAGACACCCTCTGGATAGATTCAACATTTAATTGTTGCGGATTGTTATATTAGAGGAAAGGAGAGGAAAACTAAGTTCCTTACAATGTTTTCTGTTTGGAAATCTTCCCCCACCCCCCTCAAAAAAAGCATGCAACAGACATCCAAAGTGACTGCAAGAGGTATCATAGATATACTGCAACGTTGCGAAAAAGAAAGAAATTGTGTAATGTTGTCGAGCCATAAAAAAAAAACTATTATAAAATGAGTCTGAAGGATCACAGAGGGGTATGGAAGATTCCGAGAATCGGTTTGATAGCTCTTATTTGAGTGGCCAAGATCACAACAGGATCCACAGTTATACAGGACAAGAACAAGATCTGAATTGCTTGGCATATAGAGAAAAATTGATATAAGAAAAAGATGGTTTTTCAACGAAAGTCTTTCAGTGATGGGGCGCTTCGATCAGATTCGAAGCTCTCCACGTTGGTTTGCCTCATAAAGAGATGCCTTCTGGCCGTTTCACTTCGTTCCGTGCCGAATTTCGGAGTATATGTCGTTACTTGAGTAACTGTGGGAGGCCTTGGCGCCACAACTAACGGATCATCTTCCCTTGACCTGGAACTTTCTTCTCTCTGTTCCCCTGACTTCATTCGCTGAGGACTTCTGTGAACCTGAGCCTTCCCAACTTCGATTGCCCGTGGAGGGCTACGATGAAAGTCGATCTCCAAAGCTCCACTCGAGTCCTCCTGCTTCTTCCTCATCTTTCGGGTCTCCTCCAATGGGATATTCGAAGCATCCATGGACAGGGCGTGCCTATTAATAAAAACTTCCCTGCGGATTAACCGCTTCTTCTTGGAAATCTTCGACCTGGGACTGATCTCTCCCTTCTCCGTCGTCGTTTGGAACACATCTCTGATTTTGCAGGCATCAGTGCCTGCCAGATCGGGAGCCGAGGAGCATTTGTGGAGGCGATTTGGTACCTCTGGTTCCATGAGAGTTCCAGAGTCCATGGAAGCCTGTAAAGTTTGGGAAAACTTGGTGAAACTCGAGGTGACAGCCATTCTGTTCACCGTCGTGAGCATGTTATTCTCCTCTTCCAAATGACCATTGGGTGCGATCAGATTGGAAAAGGGTCTCTTGAATCGAGCTGGCACTATCTTGGATGCACTGTCCCTCGCCTCCAATGTCATCACGCATGCGGCTACCACGATGAAACCTGACGATAGGAAAGCCCATGTTTCATTTGAAGGAATACGTTATTCTCAGGACCATCTGGGATAGCATACATTTTTAAAAGGCAGGAACCCCAAGGTCCACATCACGCATACTTCGCGATGAGGAGCAGATCTCTAAATATTGTATTAACGCTAACCTACTAGCCAATCATTTAAATCCCAAGCACTTCACTCTTCCATACAAAAATTGTCGGAGCATGAAGAAAAGATAAAGAAGACAGGGTAGTCAGAGGTGACCTCTGTTTGCTATAGACCTTTACCTAACTGCTCGCGACGAGAAATAAAAATACAATAAAAAAATAAAAGGTCGACTCTTCCAGCTGTTAAGAAAGAAAATATAGCTACATGTCTTCAAGTCATGAAATGAGAGTTTCCAGATTTGCGTGTTTGTAATTGTGGCTAGTACCTTTATTGAAACCTCGTCAAAAAATAATAATTAGGCCTGGGTGATATAGGTTTTAAGGGATCAATATCGTCAGCCATATATCGATCGATATTGACATCGCTATTCCCACCGATTAGAATCGGAAATGTGACGGAAAAATCTGCTGAGTGCAATTCGGAATCATGCATTGATATCGGTGAGGGAGCGCAGGTGATTTCCGCTTGTAACTAGGTTATGACCTTGAGAATTCCCCATAGAATGGTCCTATTTCTTTTCCGACAAGGTAGCTGTGGAAATGTGCTTCTTAAAGGAAATCAAAGGGTTATGCCATGAAGTTAAGATCAGCTGCTCCATTTCTCCCCTCTTTGTCATGCAAGGCTCTTGTCAGCAGCTGCAGCAGTAATTGTCCCAGGACAATTACTGCCGTCTTCCTCCTGTACTCCATATATACTAATTGCTCAGGATGACACTACAGCGCACCCTTTTCCATTAAGGCTTTCTAATTTCATTTTCCATTTAGGTTTTCTATCAACTCTCGCGACGTTGGTGATTATGGCGTAAAAGCTCGAAGCTTTTATCTCCATACAAGTGCAGCTTTTTCTTCTGCAGCCAGCCTCGTTTGCGTACCAGAGTAATCCAGAAGGGACAGCACGAGAGTGGAAAACGATATCTCGATGTGCGTCACGAATAGCATCGATCCATGTCCTGATGTCGCGATAAGGGGTGCTGCCCTGATAATATCATGCGCTCAAAAAAAAATTGAAATCATGCCACTTTAGTACCAGGGCAGTACCGCTTTGACGACGCTCACAAGGACGCCTCAGATACGATGGAGACGCCCTCTACCTCTGGGATCTGCTCCTGAAACCAAGCTGCTGTCTTTCTTTTTTTATTTGAAATTAATCCCCCAAAAAAATAAGCAAATAAATTTTTTATACGAAACTAGAAAGTAGTGATCTGCTGGACCATTTTTCCGCATTTCCACCCCAAAATCCAGGCATTTCGGTCATCTCTCTTGAATTTCCTGACACACTGCCGACATCTCCTTAAGAATGTCTTAAATGAATACGAATTTTTACCTTCAAATCACTCATATCTTGGGCATTTTTAACGCAAACCTTAGATTTACATGGCTCCAGAGGAAAAAAAAATCAAATAGAGATAAGTCAGAGGAACGAAGAGTTCATTCAATAAAATCCCCTCTACTGTCAGTCTGCTTGTCACGGAAGGTTTTGTTGACCCAATTCCTGAAAATAGTAATGAGTTGAAATGCCATCCTGGTGGAAAATCACCTGAGCAAATCCAACCATTCCAGAGCAGGAAGAAAAAATGTGAGAAAAGAAAAGAAAAAAATGTCCAGGTTATTCTCAGCAGAAACGTTGACCTCGAAGAAAAAAAAGGACCAATAATGGTGTGCCCAATGATTCAACACCATACGTTCACTTTAGGAGAATCACGAAAATGTCCCCGAGTTGTTCCGGAACTTCCACACGCTGTCTTGCAATTGTATTTCAGAAAAAGCAGGAATTCAGAAAATATTATTTCAACGCCCAGAGTGAAAATTTTGAAACTTACATTTACATTTAAGGAATCGTCATATTTGTATCGCACAACTACCAAGTTTTGTTCCTGGAAGCCGAATACTTGGAACGCAATGAATTTTCCAGATTGCAAATAACTTTGTGGACACATTTTATTTAAGAAAGGTACATCGAGAAAAAGAGAGAAAGAAGTTATTGTACTCACCGCCGATGCCCATGACAATTGGACCAACGAAGGTGAAGTAGTACAGCAAAGAGGCAGATTCGTTTGAGCTGGACGTAGGTTGAACTGTGTCCACATCTTGAGAAGATATGTATTCATCATAGTAACCTATAGAGGGGACGGAAGAGCTCTTTTCAAAACCTGTTACGGCCCTCAATCAGAGTTACATTTCACAGGGTGGACTTGACAAAGGCTGGGAGGGTATCAAGGCGAGAATACCAAGTAATTTAGTGCTCTGCCCTGCAATTGTGATGCTCTTCAATCACGGTCTCGAGTCTCGTCACATGCCCTATGTACCAGAAGACTCAAGAATGGCATCACGAGCAGATGAGCCTTCATTGCAGAAACAGATACTGCTTTCAAACAACCATGCGGATCCCTCCGCGGATCTTGTGAACCGATTTAATGATGAAAGTGGAAGTCATGTACGTGAACCCTTGACCATGGGATGGATGCTGATGATAGCAGGGTATTGCATTGCGACGATCCTGTCAAATTCAATAGACAGCCCCAGCGATATACCCAGGGAGATCACTGGTTAGAAGGATTAGGCCCATGATGACGAGGGTGCATTTAGCTTCCAATTAAATTATGCACAGATGCTGTCACCATCTTAGATCGAATTCCTAATCGTAGGAAATATAGGATTAAAATGGATAGTCGGAGTAATTAGCCGAGATAAAATTTCGGGGCAAGAGATTGAGCAGACGCCTAGTAATTGGTCATTATTGACGATACTTACAAATTCATACTCCCGAATTACTTAATTATCTGGAGTCGCACTTACATGGACGAGCTCATTAGAAATTAAGTTTTGCCTCAGTAAATAACTTATTTTGGTCCGTAGGATTCGGAATGAAGTCCCGGACATGGATGATGAGAATGAATGCTAAGCAAACGTACTCCTTACTCCGCTTTCCACTTCATATGACTGCATTCTGCACGAATAATTCGTCACCATAAACGCTTGCTACTAGATTTCAGGATGTCTGTGTCATACCGATAACGGCCAGGGTGGCACCGATGAAGAGCAGAAAAACTCCAAATGCGATGGCCTTGCAGGCATTACAAAGACATTGAGACGTGACTTCTCCACGAGCTGCTTGGATGCTCCAATGTGTCTTCAACGTCGATCGCCTGGGCTTCAAAACCAAAGAATCCAGACCATCTTCCATGGTCTTCACCTGCACGAGTAAAAATCGTTAGAGGAGACAAAGAAAATTAAGTAAGATGAAGCTCAGAAGAGGGAATCGATGGAGTGGGAGTCCCAGCCTCTAAACTGAAAAGGGGAGAAGAGGCAAGAAGCCAGATCGATCGTGCGCCTCCACACGTCAGCATCCCAGCTACAGTACCGCAACACCTGCTCTCGGTATTATATCATTGAAGGTCCTAAGGATACACCCTTCATCATGCATTCGACCGGACATAATAGGCCGGCCCCTTTTCCACGAGAACTTCCACTTCCCTTACGTCGCATCGCAATTCGATGGAAGGAGAGATGCGAATCATTAGAACGGAAATAGGCCTCGTCTCAGGGGAAGACCAGAGATGTTCACTTTCCAATTCAATTCACGACATTAATTCCATCGGAGCATTCGCTCTCTCTCTTTGCCCGAAGCCGGATATCAGGGAGGAGGGGCGGGGGGGGAAGTCAAAAGGGGCCTTCGGGATACCTGTCTGGATCGAAGAATCCTGATACGGATGGCTGGATGGACTGGTATATTCTTCTTCGATGTAGCTAAGTAAACATAAGTAACGCTTTACTGGGCACCTGTCCTACAGGAAAGAACACTTCGACGCATGCGCCAATTTGCTCTCCGACAGGAATAGCATGTCATGTTGCGCCCATTCATAAATGATGCTCCGGATAATATCCAGTGCCTTTTCTACTTCTTTATTCACAGACACCAAAGACAGTCTTGTTCATCGCCATCAGCCATTTTCGATCCACGGCTAGACCCCCCCCCCCCCAATTCACTCCATTAGCCAGATTCCATGCTTCATTAATCCACTTCAACTCGATTAGCTTCGTAATATTGTTTCTCCATCTAATTTTCTTCTGTACTCTATTCCTTGTAGCTCTTGGATACCGTTCGGTGATATTTTATTCTAGCTGCCATCAATTTTCTTAGCGAGGTGACGGCCCACTTCCGCCCCCTAAGCTCCACATTTTTCACGACCTCCTCCTGTCCTGCCCTCTTCTAGAATCTAGGCATTCCTTTTCTGTCTCTCCAGGTGATCGATCCCTAACATGTGTCTCCTTTCTAATTAGTGCTGTGTGCTTCTTCGCTTCTTTTTAGCTGAAGTCTACATCTCCCATCATTGTAGTCATTTCAGTGATGGCCACACCAGTCAAGATCTTTCATTTTCAGCTAGGTCAGCGAGATGTTCATGGTTGTACTAGCTTTCCAAACGCTCTCCAGCCAACATTAGCCCTTCTCTTTCCCCTTTTACAGGATTTCAGGCCATTCTCATCAGTTATCTGAAGTGGATATACCGATTCTTGAAAGCCAGTGGCTCTCAAGATTAATGTCATCGGCAAATCTGTTTTTTTTTTTCACGTTTTAATATCGATGTTAATGCGGACATAAAGAAGTGCAGAAAGAAAAAATGTTGATTTCCGAATACTATGAAAACCCAAAACAGATCGATAAGCATTCCAACTCTATGCTCAACTATCTGAGAAGCCGATGAAATTTAATTGGTACAAGGAGTACATTGAGGTTAGCTTACAGCCAACATGATACACTTCAAGCAAACTGTACTGTACTGTATTGCACAGAATATTGGGATCCATGTGTCAGCTTCATGCGTCAAGCATGCATCAAGTTGATGCATGGTAAGCATCACAATTGCCCTCTATGGATCAAACACTCGAACAACTTGTTGAAATCACTTCCACCAATTTCATATTCGCACTGCCTTGCAGCTAGACTCTCAACAACGACCCTATAGTGAGGTGGCTTAACAAAAAAGAAAAGGAGATTGGCGCCTTCAATGGTGCCATCCATTCCCTAGGGCATTCGACAAGTTTTCTCTGCATTGTCCCATCTCACGACCTCAAAGCTTTGCTCGACTTTTCTGCTCATCTCTTTCTGCGCTTAGAACTAGCGTCACTCAGTCAGATAAGGTAGAAAGCTGAAACTCAGTGTTATAAGTAGCTATTGGGATGCTGAGCTCATAAATAAAATCCTAATTTTCAGATACATCCCCTCGTGGCATATTTCTTTGGGGGAGACTTTTCCTGTAACTTTTCTAACTCTTGCGGACGGGACAAATAAAATGGTGAATATTATCAAGCAACTAGCTGTTGTGATGTCGAGTTCAGGAATATTCTATTTTTGTGGTACATCTCCTCAGGTCACAATTTTTGTGTGAAGTGACTTTCCAAAGACATTTTTGCTCCAGCGTAACGGGAAAATACGGAAAGCTGGAACTTGGTAAGCTTGTAGTTCTTCGAGTACTGATTTCAGTATCCCTTCAGTGCACTTTTTTTTTTACAAGAGAAGCAATTATATATACATATTTCTTAATTTTTGCCCTGACGAAACAGAGAGAGTTGAAACTGGATGCAGAGGTACCTGTTGGACTGCTGAGTACAAGGAAAGTCTTTTAAATATATTCACTTAGGGCAGAATAAGACGGGGAAGTATTTCCAGATTTCTTTTTCGCTCCAACAAACGGGAGAAGACATAGAGAACTGAAATTAGGCCCACAAGAAGTTATCCGAGTGATGATTTCAATTTGAAAAATCTTAGTTTTGAGGTACGTCCCCTAAGGGCACATTTTTCGACACGGACGCAACTTGAATAATTTTCATGGTACATCGTAATTGGCAAATATTGAAAGATGAAATTCGGTATTCCAGCAGTTCTCAGGGTATTGGTTTCAATAAAAATTTTTTCCAATACGAAACTGAGAGACATTGAAAACTGACTCTTGGTGCACTGGTATCAGTTGAGATGCATATTGAAGGAAGAACCACCCCGTTAGGATATCTCCCTTTAGGGAATATTTTGGAGAGACAATTTCTAGGGAATATTTTCTTCTGGTAATCAGGCGGACATTGAAAGCTGAAATTCCGTAAAGAAGGATTTCTCGGAAAGATGATTTCAAGGAAATGCCTACTTTCGAGGTATCGAGTCACAAATCGTTATGCGGGTGCATTTCCGAGAAATGTTTACCGGATGTCGATTCGGGCAGCTCTAGAAAGCTAGAATATGATACAGAAGTATCTCCTGATAGGATTATTCACGAAATTAAGGATCTCCGTTTCTTTGTTTGCCAATGAAGTGTAACATTAGGCGTGTCTTTTATGCCACCCTGTATAAGGGAGATTTATTATCTGGAGAGTAATGCAAATTTTGCATGTATTTCACACAGAGATTTGTTCGGCAACACATAACGTTAGTTATTCCAATACCTTTATTTAATCAACTTTTTTGCATTGAAAACATATTCATCATATTCTCATTTGCTTGAACACTGCTACTTCACTACCAATAGGAAGATGAAGTTCCAAGCTTTTTTCAGCAAGGATCATGCTATCAAATGCTTGATTCAATTTGCTCAAAAGCAGGATTCTCATACATTGTTGCATTAATGCTTTAAAATTCCATGAGACTTTTGCAATGGCGCTTGTTTGCAGTCACTGTGTTAAAAAATATATCTCCGCTACCATCACTTCAAAAAAAAAAGCAGCTCAAAGCACGACAACAACGAAATACCTTTGAAAACATAACACCTTCGTTGAAATATCAATGCATTGCTTCAAAGGATGTGCAATGTTACAGAGATTCTTCAGGATTAGGAATGTCGAATTTAGGCACAATTGACGTGCAAAGGCGCATTTTTGCCAGTTACATTTTTGTAGACAGTGCAATAGCGATTTTCAGGGATTAATCGGTTCCTCATGAGTGATGCAGGGTGGCAAGGCGCGATAATAGGAACTCTCTTTGAATGATTTATCATTCGATGGGACCGGAAATGAACTTGTAGGGAAATTCAGTTTCGTCACCGTGGCCAGTTAAATGTACGCATGACCGCAAGCGAAATGGGACGTACCTGTTAATTGTTGGAGGTGGAGGTGTGAGAAGGGGACGGGAATTCCCGGTGCATGTCCTGCAGGGTATATGCACCTGTGGCGTTTGGAACTTCCTTTCGTGGAGGGGGCTTTCCCTCCCCTGTGACGAAGCTGCACTTTGCGCACCCGATCTTGCGCTTTCTCTCCGACTCGCCTTCTCCCTCCTAGGCCAGATCGATGATGGGCTCCCAGGATTTGACGAGTTTCCCCTGGAACACCTAAAGCTTCCCCTCCACCTTTCCAATGGGTATAAATTCATATCTAGATTACTATCAGCTCCTTGTGCACGTCCCCCTTCCCAACGACCCATAACTTTTCACCTGCAGCCACTTCATTTCTTCGCCACTACGGCCGAAGTTGATGAAATACCGGCAACTTAGCTGAACCAAATGGTCTTCGCTTCTCCTTATATTTTTCATATAGCAAAATGAAACATCGCCAGTTGATTTTACTGGATAGCAACAGATAGGGATGAATTCATCGAGAGAGAATATGCCTTGATGCACCGACTGTAAAAGCCACATAGGTGCAACCACGCCCAAAAAGCAACAGCGATCATATCGTACAACGACAAATGGCAGTGTGAAGGATAGGGAAGTGAAAAAATTTACACAAATATCTGGGTAGATCCTAGCTGAAACATCTTCATCGCTGTCTCCGTCGAAGATCTTCCATGGTTTATCGATTGTTCTGGCCAGGATATCCTTGATGAAGCTATTACTTTTGGAAGGGAAAGGAGAGGAAGAATGACCTTATCTCCGCACGCAGTGAGCACGTATGTCTTCATTACATTCAACGTGTAGACCCAGCCCTGTCATGACTAAAGTCAGGCCTCATGCTAGATTTGATTTTAAAAATCCATGACTTATGACTAGACATGATATGCGAGGAGGCGCTATGCTTATGTGAAACCATGAAAAGCATCCCTGGTGAAGCTTCCAAGTTCGATGAAATCCTTCCAAACGAAAAGAGGTGTCTGAACTAATTGCGTCTTGTGGAAGAGGACTGTTCGTATGGCAATGGAACTGCTCAAGTGTGAAGCAAATAGTATCTTCCAATGAGAATTATCCAACTCGCCCATTATGCTGAGTCTCGTTCAGTTGCTTTGCTCTTTGAGACAGGACGGTTCATTGATGGGAATTATGCTACCTCATAACGAGAAGATGCTCAAAGTTTGTAATAATACGCCCCCGGTAATACCTCTCTCTGAGCGCTGCCGCTCAAAGAGAGATAGTGCTGTGGGCGTCAGCATATTAATGCAAAAATTCATACTAAGGAACTGCACCTTCTTAAAGAACAATGCCTCCGAAAGCCTGTTTCTCATC